TTAAACAGGTATCTGAGTTTAAATATCTGGGAACTACATTTACCGAAGATGGGAAATTGGATAAAGAAATTGACATTAGAAGCAGTAAAGCAAACCAAGTATTGGGGCAGCTAGCTCCCCTCTTACAGCATAAGACAACCCCAATCAGCACAAAGAGACATCTTATTCAAAGCATATTTATTCCAACTCTGTGCTACCAGTGCCAGACATGGTCACTCACAACAAACCATAAAAGAAAATTAGTAACCACGGAAATGAGATGTCTGAGAAGGGCTGTAGGAGTGACCATAAGAGATAAGATCAGGAATGAGATCATTAGAGAACAAGTCGGCACAGAACCAATTCTGGATTACATACAAAGACAGCAAGTAAAATGGTTTGCCCACTTAGGGAGAATGCCTTGTGACACCATACCATAAAAAGCATACATGGAAAGAGAAGAAGGACTTAGAGCACGGGGTAGACCAAGAACAAGATGGATGGATAACATTAGAGAAACTCTACAACAGCACGATGTGCCTATGGTCGAGGCAGCCAGAAGAGCTAGAAACAGAACCTTATATCTACCTCGACACCCACAGCGGTAAAAGAGGAAGTGAAGAAGAAGAAGAAGAAGAAGAAGAAGAAGAAGAAGAAGAAGAAGAAGAAGAAGAAGAAGAAGAAGAAGAAGAAGAAGAAGAAGAAGAAGAAGAAGAAGAAGAAGAAGAAGACGAAGAAGAAGAAGAAGAACGGAAAAAAAGCTAGTAAAGAGAAGTAATTTAGGAAAATATTGTGGATGACACCTTATTCACACATCTCTGCAATTCAATTCGAAGACTGTTGTTTGCATTAAACAAAAATCGACACTTTTCTTGAACCCTCGACATCGCTTGCCTTGAATGTTTTACATGGTAAGGGACATAATCTCAAATATCTTTAATAGCTATTACAAGATGGTTCTGTTATCTCCCATATTTTCAATTTTCAATATAGAAACAACTGAAAACACATTAGCAACTCGTCTCTTTCAGGGAAAGAAGAAGAAGAAGAAGAAGAAGAAGAAGAAGAAGAAGAAGAAGAAGAAGAAGAAGAAGAAGAAGAAGACTAAAATTAACGAATCTGTGAAACTATAGTGAGTATACCAAGAATTCAGTAAAATCTAGAATGAACCACAGTATTCCAGTGCGATGCTACACACAGATTATCATACCCACCGATAAGGCACTATCGCCTATCATTGTCTGCGGCTTAGGCGTTGCGCACGCGCTTCGTAATGCCGGAGTGCCGGGTTCGGTCCTAGCTGCTGGCCTTGCGCCTTGCGTTGGTTTCGACAGTGGTATCGAGAAACTGACCGACCAGAAAGCAGTGGCAAACTATTAGACGTAAATTTGCCTAGAAAACCTACAACAGCCAAAACATGCCAGGGCTGGTTTTGCAACGTCCTGTAAAAAGATAGGCAGCTAACTGTAAACTGGACTAAAGATTACTTTGTACCTGACTCGTGGTACTCTAGTATAAATGAACCACGTGACTATTCTGATGACCCGTGGTACCCTAATATAAATGAGCTACGTGGCTATACAGTTGATGAAGCAAAGAACCGGAATATCAGGTGTGACTACACACCACAAATAAAAGGAAACCAAATGAGCCAGCCAAACAACATTTATATATATATATATATATATATATATATATATATATATATATATATATATATATATAGCAGGCCTCCGGGCAGCTGAAAAGAATCAAGTTTGGATTTTTTTTTTTTTGGACAACTGGAATAGGAATATACGGTTAACCCGTGGTAAACTAGTATAAACGAGCTACGCGGCTATACGGTTGACTCGCGGTACCCTTGTATAAATGATATTACGTGATGTATGAATGAAATGATGTAAGAATGGAGGGAGGCCTAGAAGATCAGAATGTTAGACGGGCCAAATTCTTAACCCTTTAAGAAAAAAAGTTTTTTCGTTCGTTCGAGCTACGTGGCTAGACGGTTGACTCGTGGTACCCTAGTATAAATGAGCCACGTGGCTAGACGGTTGACTCGTGGTACCCTAGTATAAATGAGCTGCGTGGCTAGACGGTTGACGCGTGGTACCCTAGTATAAATGAGCCACGTGGCTAGACGGTTCACTCGTTGTACCCTAGTATAAATGAGCTACGTGGCTAGACGGTTGACTCGTGGTACCCTAGTATAAATGAGCTACGTGGCTAGACGGTTGACTTGTGGTACCCAAGTATAAATGAGCTACGTGGCTAGACGGTTGATTCGTGGTACCCTAGTATAAATGAGCCACGTGGCTAGGCAGTTGACTCGTTAAACTCTAGTATAAATGAGCTACGTGGCTAGACGGTTGAACGGGATTACAGGGATTAAACGGGATTACAGGGATTTGTGTGTGAATGATTCACATCCTTGAGGTGTTAATCCTGGGGACAGCAGTCCTCGAGGGGACAAACTGCAGCAGCATTTTCAACCCCTACAATAGAAAAGTGTAGGTTCACACATTACCAACCACCTAATTAGACTTATGGGAATATTGATGATGATGATGCTGATGATGAGGATGATAATGAGGATGATGATGATGATAATAATAATTGAAGTTCCTCCTGGATATAATACTTGATTTTATTTCCACACCAACATACATATACTAACCACTGCCTTCTTTAATAAATAGAGAAGGCCGTGTACTAACCAAGAAAATAAATTAAGTAATTTGTTATATTACAGCAGTAAAATTCTACACGTAAGTCATAAACGGTAGAGTAATAAGCATTCTTTTACAGCCGAGAAACCGGTGAACCGTGTCGTGTGCTGCTTGGGACATTTGCAAAAATAAGCATCACAGGATCTGTATACTGGTTGTTTTCTTCACACCATGCACCCTTTTGTGAGTGTTGATGACATAAACACAGTCTCGTATGTGTGTATCTACCTTCTCACATATTTTTCACCATCCTCACTAGTACACTCCGCCTATGTTGTGGGTAATGTGTGTGTGTGTGTGTGGTGAGGGGATGTGCGTGTGTGTATGTAAGTGTGAGTGTTTACAAACGAGGATTGCTTGAAAGAAGCTAATGGAAGCAGATCACAATCAACAGCTGTAAGGAAATCTAGTTACAAAAATAAATTTTCCAAGGTGCAACACGAGGAACTTGTCACAATTTCGACAGAAATTAACAATGATGGGAAATATCTCAGAATAATAAAGAATATCTATTGGAAGCAAATGGCAGCTATTAAAACGGGAAATAGTATGGGCACATACGAACAAATCAAACAGTGAGTAAGATAGGATTTTCTGTCCATTGCGAAAGGATATTAAAACAAATCAAAAATACAGAAGAAAAAAGAGTGTGAGGTTATCATATAAGCAACATATGTTATGCATACGACACAGTATTTATAGCTTAAATTGTAAATGATCTACAGCAATTATTGGACACTGTAGTGATGAAGGAGTGGGGAAAAAAGGTATATCCTTGAGTGTGAAGAAACAGGAGTTACTGATTACATCAAAGAAAACAATACCACCACAGTTGTGATATTAGAAGGTGAAAGGTTGATGAGCCCAGTCATGTGATTGGCTGGGGGGGGGGTGAGGGGTGGGGGCTTTGAGTAATATTGTTACGACTGGTAAGATTAACGGTAGAAGAGGGAGAGACAGACTGAGAGAGAGAGAGAGAGAGAGAGAGAGAGAGAGAGAGAGAGAGAGAGAGAGAGAGAGATGATGACAACGGGTGGATTGAGAGGGAAAATCATCGGTGGAATGATCCAGATGGCTAGGGACAGAGTTCTGTTAAGATGGATGACCACCTACGCCTGTCGGCAGGGCACATGATTATGACGGCGTCCTAATATATATATCCTTGTATAAAGTGGGTAAAGGTTTCGTTTCGTAACTTTACAATTATTATTATTTTTTTTTTTTCTTTTTGTATTTTGCTTTTGGATTGCTTGGGTTTTTGTTCAGCTTAGCTGGGTTTTACACACACACACATAAAAATCCCATTCGCAGCCCTGCCGCTCACCTGCTGTTCTGCAGAGCGGCTAGTGGCCCAGCGGGATCTGGTGCATCGTAGTTCTACTTTGCCTTTCATTACTAGAGATGACCACATGAGAGTAGAACGCCTATGGCACGGGTGCCGTTTGATGTTTTGAAAAGTTCCCATTACTTAACTTCAAGCTGGCTGATTGTTTTAAATATGTCTTATTTACCACACACGTACACACACTCACAATGACAAACACACACAGGCACGCAAAAGCCATAACGAAAACGAAACGTTTGTATACATTTTAGAACATTTCTTGTAAGGACATGATTACTGACAGCTTGCATGGCAAATCTCAACAACTTACACCGAATGGTTTCTGAGCTACTGATTGTTTTAAAGTGGAACACGACTTCTGAAACAGACTATAGAAACGGCCCTCGTGGAACTGCAAAAGTAGCCATCTTTACGAACTTTTGGGCTGATGACGAAACAAAACACATAGTCTTGTATGTAGGTATGTAAGTTGTACCCCACCAGAACATCACACAAGCAATAAACACCCGATGGCACAAAGTGTCACAATGCGGATGAGGATCACCTGTAGAGAGGTCTCGGAAACCCCTTTTAGCCGTTAGGCCATATTTCAAGCCCGGTTATATTTAAGGCCCCCGGCAAAAGCCAGGGTAGGGCTTCAAAATGCCTAAAAATTGCATCTCACAAGAGGATGAAGAGAAATCTGACATATTCTTTAGAATGCAAGGCAATCAACGTAACGACTTTAACATGGCGCATGGCCTTTCGAACTTGCTAACAGTTACATGTTATCAAAGGGAGCTATCGACCTAATTATAATAATACAATGAATGAGGTACGGGAGTTGCGTGTATCTTGTGACGAACACATGATCGTTATCTATAGGTTGAACTGGTAAGATCTAGTACAAGCAAAAGTCTAACGTCATTGGGAGAAGTGTTTGTTCATTTCACAGGCTGTCAACTGACAAGATGGATATTAGGAGATTAGTGATCGTTGCCTTTACTGCTGTGTCAATGTTGATGAGACTCGTCGAGTTGTTCCTGTTTTTCTTGGTAAGTTGTATGCTGGTGATTTTTATTAAATTACTAGGCTAAATATGAACAGAATTGGACAGGCCAGAACTGCGTTTTATAAAATGAAGAAATATATACACATTAATAGCTGTCCCCATTTGGAATGCAATTTTTCGTTATTTGAAGAACCACCCTAGCTTTTGCAGGGGCCCTGAATTTAGCCGGGCCCAAAGGGGTTTCTGGGACCTCTCCCCTGGTGATCCTTATCTGCATGGTGGCACTTTGTGTCACCGAGTGTTTATCGCTTGTGTATGTCCTGGTTGGGTACAACAAGAGAGAGAGAGAGAGAGAGAGAGAGAGAGAGAGAGAGAGAGAGAGAGAGAGAGAGAGAGAGAGAGAGAGAGAGTAAAGAAATATTTTATGCAATAAATCTATGATACTAGAGGTTAGCAAACGATTTATGGCAAGCTATATAGAGCCAGTTTTAACATACGGCTGTAAAACTGGGACACTTAATAGATAAGTAAAAGTAAAGTAAAGGACCCTTTTCCACCCTTTAGGCGTATAGGGCATATAGGGCTAGAGCTATATTTTCATAGACCAATCGGCACAAGATAGGTGATGTGATCAGCATCACGACGGCCGCCTTTACTTCCCGGGACTACACCCGGTACCCACTCAAGGCTGGGTCTACCTGGGAGTCAAGGTCATTTTTGAAAATAGTCCGGCTCCGCCAGGGAGCGAACCCACGACCTTCCGAGCCGCGGCGAGCGTCTAGCCGCTCGGCCACGCCCCCCCCCCCTAAACACATACACAGTCAAACACACACACACACAAATACAGACAAACATGCAGACAAACAAGGACTTACACCCACACAGACAAACACACACAGACATACACACTTAGACAAACACATAGAAATACACACACAGACACATGCGACACATATACACAGCAGATACTCTGACATGCAGACACACACTAGCAAACAAAGAGGCACACACAAACACACAGAGACACACACAAAGACACCCATTGACAAATACACTAGATAAACGCGTGCACAATACACACAGAGATACACATATAGACACGCACACACAGACAGACACATACACTCACGCAGACAAACATACTAACACTCACACACAGAGACACATACAAACAGCCACATAGACACACACGCAGACAAACAGACATAAACATACACAAGCAAACATGCAGACAAACACAGACACACACGCAGACATACACACAGTCACATCAAACATGCAGACAAACACCGAGACACACACGCAGACATACACACATGCAGACAAACACAGAAACACAGACACATATACACAGCCAAATATATCCAGTCACACACACGCACGTAGACACACATAGACAACAAAGAGGCACACATAAACACACAGAAACACACACACACAAGGACAAAATCACACTGACACTTACAGGGGGACATACGCGCGCACACACACACATTCGGACATATACACAAGGACACACACACGTATTCACACGCAGACACACACGCAGATACTCAAGTAGACAACACACTCTGAATCATATATATACAAACACGCCTACCTATACATAGATATCACCCACGCGCGAGCGCGCAAACATGCAAATCATATACACCTTGTTTAATATTAAATTGATAATGCCATATGGGTTATTAATTACACTCAAAGTGGCGTATCATCGCTTGTAAGCATGAACTGGAAACGTCTATGAATAATTGAATAGGGACTCTTAGAATTCATGTCTAGTGGAAGTTGGTTCCACAAATGAGCAGCCGAGTACGCTAAACTTGTTTCATATAAATCTATTCTAGGTTTAGGCAAATTTAATAAACTTAGTCGCTTGCTGTTTGTAGGATTTTATTTAATTAACCGGAAATCGCAGTTTGGTGTATTTTGAGATACAATTTTATGAATAAATTTGGCCTTGTTAAAAATTAAACGTTTGCTAAATGGCAATAGTGTCAGATTATTATAGAGATTATTTTTAAAAAAAAAAATATGTTTATTATCTGAAACCAGGTGTAGAGAACGGGTTTGAAGAGAACTTAGTCTTTTATCATTGGATTTAGCGCAACGATCCCAAACTGTGGAACAATAGTCGACATGTGTTTGGATGTAGGACGCCTAAAATACTTTTCTTGCATCTTCGTCTAGAAGTGCTGAATTTTGGCAAGCTGATATACTTTTTATGCTGTTTTCTTAGTTATGACAGAAACATGAGCATTCCAGGTTAAATGGTTGTCAATTGTAAGGCCTAAAGTTTTGTTTTCCGTTACATTAAAAACAGGTAATTTATCAATATAGAGCTCAAGTGTTGTATTGTGCAATACTAACGTTTGCAACTTTTGTCTTTTTGTTATAAGCATAGACTTAGTTTTATTTATGCTAATTTGCATGCGATTGTTATTGCTCCGTTTACAAAGAGTGTCTACTTCTTTCTGTTAAGAGCTTTCCAACTCATTGCGATTCTCGTTACTAGTATATATTGTACAGTCGGCAGCAAATAAATCGCATTTTAAACTAAGATGTAATGGAAGGTAGTTAATATGCGTGGCAGATAGCAGTGGACCTAGAATCGACCCCTGTGTTACGCCTATATTTAACTGAGTGGATTCTGACAGGCGGTTGTTGAAGGATACTACTTGCTGTCTATCAGATAAAAATGACCGCATTATTTCGACTAAATTATCGTTAGTTTTCAATATTTTTAATTTGTTAGTTAGAATATAATTTTCAACCATATCAAAGACTTTCTTAAAATATAAAAAAACAGCACCGTAAATTTTGTCTTTGTTGACGTTAAAGTGCCAGTTGTCTGTCATTTTTGTCATCGCAGTATGGCAAAATTGCTTACGTCTGAACCCTGACTGGCTATCAGCTATCAGATTGTTGTTATTTAAATGCTGAAAAGTTATTTTATGTATGTGTTTCTCCAATGGTTTGGATAGCGAGGACAGTAGAGAAATGGTTCTATAACTGCCAAGAGAACTGTTGTCAGCTGAGCCAGGTTTGAGTAGAGGATAAACTTTGGCAATTTTAAGTGCTGATCGAAAGTAGTTTTTAGAAAGGCACGGATTATATATTATGTTAAGGAGTCACTAATGACTGGTGCAGCACATAAAAGAATTCGATTACTGATTCCATCTAAGCCAGAGGGGTTTGCTTGAAGTTAGAGAGATGTTTATACACTTCAGGAACAGACAAAAGTGGGATCTCTGGAGAAATAGTCGTGGTGAATTTTTCCTGACAGAATGATGCTAGTAGGCTTTAAGTCACACTGATTTGAAGAAGGAACTGAACGATTCACAAGTTAACAAATTAGGTATTGCCTGATCTGAACAATGTTTCTTATTGGTTAGCGTATAATAGCCTTCCAGATATCGGCACTGTTTGTTTTATCTTTAATTAATCTATTAAAGTTATCATTCTTCATTTTACGAACTTCATATCGCACTTTATTTTTTAATTTGCGATAGGCAGTAAATTTTTTAGAAGAAAAAGAAGAAGAAGAAGAAGAAGAAGAAGAATTTTCTTACGCTTACAAATACTTACGTCGGTGTCTGTAACTTAGGCTCTTGGTAATGCCGGAGAGCCGGTTTAGATCCCAGCTGCGGACGATTTGTCATGCGTTGGTTTCGACAGCGGTACCAAGAGCTGATGGTTCACAGGCAATGGCAAACTACTGAATGCAAAATTTATTTTAAAAAGCCCACTAACAACTAAAAATTGCTGGGGCTGGTTCTGCAACGTCCTGTAAAGGATACGCAAGTAACTTGAACTAATACTTAAAGTGTCTTGTCTATTCACTGTCGAACTCTAGACGAACGGTTGTCTTCCCTGCTCTTATTCGGGTTTTGCTGAGTGACATTTCAGGGGCTGCAGTGGACGTCCTCTGCTGGCCGAACCGTTTAGAACGCTGGGTTCTCATGCAGGAGGCTTTTGTTTGAATCCTCGGTGAGGTCATGGATTTTCAAATCGGAGACAAAAATAACATCCTAACCTGCAGTTTGTGGCGGCAGCACTGGCCATGCAGACCCAAATCCTCAGGCTTCAAGAACATCCCTGCCTACACCGTATGTATAGTAGTAAATACAGGCGGTAATTGTCATTGGGGTTGAGGTTGGGGTGGGGGGAGGGGGGGGGGGTCAGTGGACTTCCTATCCTAATACCTGTTGCGCTGATTAATTTGGGCACCATGTTTTATCCCATATGGTTTGATTTCTCTCAGCAGATATACGGAGAACGCGTATAAAGCACGACCTCTGTAGCTCCAGCGACGATCTCCGCAAAAACTACACGCATGAACTGAACGATGCAGTTTACTACGTCTGCGGTATAAATACGCCATGCCCTTGAGTTTGCAGGTTGAGTGTAACGACGCCAACAGAAATCATACGTCATATCCATGTGTCCTCACGTTGAGTATTAACGACGTCTACAGTATGTATACCCAAAGTCCTTCTGTCCACAGGTTAAATGTTACGAAACCAACTCTGTGTGTGTGTGTGTGTGTGTGTATGTGTGTGTGCGCGCGAGCGAGTGTGTGTGTGTATTTACATGTATGTGTATATATAAAGTTACGTCCGTGCATTCGCAGGTTGAGTGTTACGATTCCTACATGTACAGTCCTCTTCAGGCAGCTCTCTGGCCTGTGGTGACCAAAGTTCCTCGGACTGTAGTAATAAACGGTAAACCACGTACAGTGTTCACAGCAAACATTGTCTCCTGGAGCAGAACTCTGCTTGTTGTACCTATAGCGGTTGCTCTCAAGTAAGTGTCAGTTTAGACCCTATTTACAAATTTAAAAAAGTAAAGGACCCTTTTCCACGCCTTCAGGTGTATATGGCATACAGAACAAGACCTAGATTTTATAGACCAATCGGCACAAGATGGGTGATGTGGTCAGCATCACACCGGCCGCCTTTACCTTCCGGGATATAGCGCTAGACGTATATTTTTTATAGATCAATCGGCACAAGATGGGTGATGTGGTCAGCAGCAGGCCGGCCACCTTTACTTCCCGGGCTGCACCCGGTACCCACTCAAGGCTGACTCGACCTGGGAGCAAGACACCGACTGCTAACTTCGGCAGAAAGTTCTGGTTGTTCGTCCACTTCTGGGCTTCAGTTTTACACCAGAACTTGGGTTCTGAGTGCGCGTCCGTTTTACATATATGTTTTTTTTTGTGTGCATGAAAACTGTTGATTGCGTGCTTCTCAGGTCGAAGCACCCCGACCTCGAAGGGAACTATTAATCATCGACTCCTACAACATGCTTGTTGTTAGGGAGGCAGTGAATATATCCACACCCTCAAACCCCCCCCCCCCCACATCCCCCCAAATCTCCACAATACGGCCCCAGAACCTAGGTGAGGATATTTATACTTTTTTTTTTTTTTTTCCAAACTATAATGTTTACAAGAAATAGATACGAGAGTGAACCGTTGAGTAGAAAGCTCTATTAATTTTTTCGGCGTTAACTCGATCATTTACACTTCTGATGGTCCTTCAACCATCATTGCACTCGAACAACTGATTTTCAGACTTCACAACGTGCTGCTTACTGGGTACGCTCCTGCAGGTTAAGGCGTCCAGCCATGTTTCTAGGGCATCTACATTTCAAACAAAATATTCAGTCTGAAACACAAATTCCGGCATATTAAATTTACAGATTTCATTCTCCTATATCAAAGATAAAACAAGGAAAACAAATTGTAGAGACTAAGATTACCATAGATAATTAAAACAGATTTCAAGTCACAAATCAAAAAACTCTAGACAGTATGAAAACCAAGAGAAGGTGGAAATGGCTTGGCCAAGTTATGCGAATGAATCCTGATATACCTGCCAAAACAGCTCTCACGTGGATAACAGAGGGAAAGAGAAACAAGGGGCGCCCAAAAACAACATGGAGAGAAATGATAGAAAGTGGCCTGAGTGCGGCATCTTTGACATAGAAAACTGCACTGAAGATTGCGCAGAACAGGTACGGATGGAAAGTCCTTTCTGAAGCTTCATGTGCTACTAGGCATAAAGAGAATTCATGATGATGATGCTAAAACTCACCGTGTGGGTTCCGGGGCCCTATTGTAAGTTGCAGGGCCCCATTGTAGGGAAAACAAGAATAGACACACTGCTTACCCAAAAGCATGACGTAAGAGTCGACTTATTGGGGAGCTTCCTTTGAAGTCTGAGTGTATCTGCCTGAAAGGCAAGTAACAAACAGTGTGAATTCAAATGCATCAGATCTGTAAAACTGATGCACACGCAACACTCAGGTTCTGGAGCAGGACTGCAGTAAAGAAGTGGACTAACAACCCAAAATTTCCGCCAGAGTGTACTGCTGGTGAACGCATAGAAGAAGAAGAATGATGCTAAAACAGGGAGTTACTTTTCAGTCACCATGTATATTTTCTGACAATATCAGCAAAGTATATAATAACATACACATAGCTCAAAAGCAAAACTTTTATATTTTATGATATTAACAACCAAGTGTATAATTATCCAGCACATGGAACTATGAACCTCTTTTAACTACAGTGAAAAGACGGAAAATGCAATGGTGAGGACATGTAAAAACAACACTACAAGGCTCAGTAAAAGCGAAGAGCAAAAGAGGCAGAACAAGAAGGACCTGAACACAGAACTTGAGTTGAGTTGAGTTGAGTCAATAATTGCCATCACAGCACTCGGGGCATTCCCATACGTGCTCCGTCCTCATTTTCAGCAGCCAGCACAGAGTTCCAATACTGATGGAACCGGTCACAGTCTGGTTAAATGTCAGTCTTGCCTTTCCTCTGAGTGTAGTGAGCCGGCCAGACCCTCTAGTTACACCCAGGTGTATACAGTACTTGACTGACTGGACAGGCTTTAGGCGTGCAACCTTGAAATCCATTGCATCCGACTCTCAAATGTGGATGGAGCGGATCAGACAGTCAACAACAACTGTTGACCCAACAAAATGCAGTATCACTGAACTTCGATGGTCAACCAACTGACCCCCGTTAACATCCTCTCCTCCTCCTCCAGGCACAGATGTTACTGGACAGGCTTCTGGTGTGTGGTACTCCATGATTTCCTGGATCATTTAGATGGCATTGTAGCTAAAGCGCAGAGACAGATGTTTGGAGACATCGACGATCCTGTTCTTGGTGGATTCATGGATGCATTCTGTGACAAGGTCGGACTCTGATTGTTCTTTGTTTTCCCAGTTCCGATTATGATCTCCCCCCCCTCCCTTCCCTTTTGGGGTGTTATAGGGACAGTAAATATTGTGAGTCTGTCCTCGGTGTTAAAGGGACAGTCAATATTGTGAGTCTGTCCTTGGTGTTATAGGGATATTCCTTATTGTGAGTCTGTCCTTGGTGTTATAGGGATAGTCAATATTGTGAGTCTGTCCTTGGTGTTATAGGGATATTCCTTATTGTGAGTCTGTCCTTGGTGTTATAGGGATAGTCAATATTGTGAGTCTGTCCTTGGTGTTAAAGGGACAGTCAATATTGTGAGTCTGTCCTTGGTGCTATAGGGATATTCCTTATTGTGAGTCTGTCCTTGGTGTTATAGGGATAGTCAATATTGTGAGTCTGTCCTTGGTGTTAAAGGGACAGTCAATATTGTGAGTCTGTCCTTGGTGCTATAGGGACAGTCACTATTGTGAGTCTGTCCTTGGTGCTATAGGGACAGTCACTATTGTGAGTCTGTCCTTGGTGCTATAGGGACAGTCATTATTGTGAGTCTGTCCTTGGTGCTATAGGGACAGTCACTATTGTGAGTCTGTCCTTGGTGCTATAGGGACAGTCACTATTGTGAGTCTGTCCTTGGTGCTATAGGGACAGTCATTATTGTGAGTCTGTCCTTGGTGCTATAGGGACAGTCACTATTGTGAGTCTGTCCTTGGTGCTATAGGGACAGTCACTATTGTGAGTCTGTCCTTGGTGCTATAGGGACAGTCAATATTGTGAGTCTGTCCTTGGTGCTATAGGGATAGTCACTATTTTGAGTCTGTCCTTGTTGTTATAGGGATAGTCAATATTGTGAGTCTGTCCTTGTTGTTATAGGGACAGTCATTATTGTGAGTCTGTCCTTGGTGCTATAGGGACAGTCAATATTGTGAGTCTGTCCTTGGTGCTATAGGGACAGTCACTATTGTGAGTCTGTCCTTGGTGCTATAGGGACAGTCAATATTGTGAGTCTGTCCTTGGTGCTATAGGGACAGTCACTATTGTGAGTCTGTCCTTGGTGCTATAGGGACAGTCACTATTGTGAGTCTGTCCTTGGTGCTATAGGGACAGTCACTATTGTGAGTCTGTCCTTGGTGCTATAGGGACAGTCAATATTGTGAGTCTGTCCTTGGTGCTATAGGGACAGTCACTATTGTGAGTCTGTCCTTGGTGCTATAGGGACAGTCACTATTGTGAGTCTGTCCTTGGTGCTATAGGGACAGTCATTATTGTGAGTCTGTCCTTGGTGCTATAGGGACAGTCACTATTGTGAGTCTGTCCTTGGTGCTATAGGGACAGTCATTATTGTGAGTCTGTCCTTGGTGCTATAGGGACAGTCAATATTGTGAGTCTGTCCTTGGTATTATAGGGACAGTCAATATTGTGAGACTGTTCTTGGTGTTATAGGGATAGTCAATATTGTGAGTCTGTCCTTGGTATTATAGGGACAGTCAATATTGTGAGTCTGTCCTTGGTGCTTTAGGGACAGTCAATATTGTGAGACTGTTCTTTGTGTTATAAGCTTTATTTTTTTTTTATTTAAAAAACGGTAAGGCAAAAAAATCAATATCTGGATGACATGCCCCTATATGTTAGTCGGGACAAGAGCACTGACCTTATCTGTGAGTTAGCGAAATATGACCTCCTAGCCAGTGGTCGTCAAATCGCGACTCGCGAGCCGCATGCGGCTCTTTAGCGACCTTAGTGCGGCTCGGCCAGTCAGCCACAAATCGGTTTTTGACTCCGGAAAACGTGGTTCTTGACGTGTTCTTGAAAAGCTTGTTGGCTCTCAAAAAGTGTTAATCGTCCTGCTGCTGAATGTTTGGCTCTTTTGACTAATGAGTTTGCCTACCACTCGCCTACGTTATCGACAGGGCACACGATTATGATGATGATTAGGGTGATGGTTTCATTTTATGAAATATGAAAGTTTAACGTAACTTGTATTCATCCATTTATATATATATACGTGTGTGTGTGTGTGTCTGTGTGTGTGTTAAGTGTGCATTCTTATTGTGTGTGCATTATATATATATATATATATATATATATATATATATATGGGGGGCGCTTGTGTGATTATGTGTATTTTTGTGTGAATGCTGACTGTTATGATTTTATTTATTGTGAATTATTATGTTCATGTTTTTCATGCTGATTTCTGGTTTCAGAACGTTATAGCATACTATAATATGAGGAACAACATTGAAAACACAGATGTAATGTCGTTAGGAGCATAGAAGCAGAACCTAAATAAAACAGTAGAATGCAAGTCGGCAGTCCGAAACCCAAGTTCAAGGTGTCTCCTTCGTGCCAAAGAACTGCATGGCTGTTGGGTGAACAGTCGTTAACGAAGGCAGTCAGGTCGTTATAGGGGCGACGCTTGCTAGTGGATGTAACGTCCTAAGCCCCTTCCCCAGCTAATAGTGAGGGTACTGCTGGGGTGACCCTTTATTACCCCTCAAATAATGCTTCAGGTCAAAATGGACGCTAGGCACGGCCACTTTTTGTAGCCGTGGCAAATTTGTGTGTGTGCGTGTGTGTGAGTGTGTGTGCTGTTGCCAGGCCGTGGCTGTTGCATTTTTGCTCCATTTGTAGACTGGAAGGATATAGTTTCGTTGCATAGATTCTGAGTTGAGTGCATAGCGTAACACTGTGAGCTGCGAATTTCATTTGAACTGTAATAAACATTTTATGTGTTTCTCCGTTGGCACAGGAGCGGAGCAACTATGGGGCGACCCGTTTGCTATGAAGCTGAAACTAAGATTACCAGATTACCAGTAGAGTGCAAAGGTATTAGAGGCAAACAATATGTCACAGAACCAATTCTAAACTGCATACAAAAATAGTAAATCGAATGGTTTGCCTGCTTATAGAAAAATGCCTTTAGACGTCATACGATAGAGGGTACATACTGAAAGAGGAGAAGAAAGTAGAGCACAGAGTCTACCAAGAACACGATTGAAAGATAACATCAGGGAAATTCTGCAACAGCAGGATGTGGTTTTGGTAGAGGCGGCAAGAAGAGCAAAAAGCAGAACCTTATACCCCCAAGGTGCCATACCAAATGCATTTGTTATACCACTTTTGCGGTGTAGACACAACTGTAAAAAACATCGAATACATAATGGTGGGCGAACATCAGGATTCTGGTCAAGTTAGAGTTCCTCTTTGAGGTCCAGTAATTCTTCCCTGATAGGTTCTTTCATGAGCCTGAGGATTCACAGCGGCATGGCTAGTGCTGTCGTTACGACTGTGCAGTTGAGGATTTTTTTTTTTTTTTTGGCCCTGACATAAAATAAAGTCTCCAGCCTTACCGAGGATTTGAACCCGGGTCTCCAGCGTGAGAGCCCGGCGTTTCAACCGTTCGGCAAGCCGCTCCTTATATCCCCATAGTAGATGTGTGACTTTTTAAATAGCTTGAAAAACTTAGTGCCTCCTTGTTTCAACACATGGTTGCGCCTACAAAAGACAGTTTATTTGCCTATTTCAGATTGTGAACGTTCTAACTTTATGGAGTGTTTTATTGGTGACCGACTTCACAAACATGTCATGGCTGCAGACGGTGGTTTTTGTGTTTCCCTGTGTTGTTGTCATTGGTTACGAGTTTACACTAGGGGTTGTCAGGGTACAAGACTTTTTCATGGCATACTACTTACGGTAGGTGTTTTAGCGATTTTTGTTTTAATCTAAAAATATTTTATAAAAATATTTAAGGCTCTAAAAATACAAACACAATATAATATATAGTTTAGTAATGGACTGACTAACTGTACGCCACCAAGACGTCACAATGAGAGATTAACACCCGGGGTCACAAAGTGCCACCATTCCGACGAGGATCACCCGTGAAGAGGACTCAGAAACCCCTTTCAACCGTTAAATCATATTAGGCCCCACAGCAACAACCAGGGTGGGGCTTCAAAATAACGAAATTTACATCCCGCACGGGGACGGAATTACAATAATGGACATACATGTGTAAATTATTCCCTTCACTTAATTCATCACCAGTTTGATATAAAAGTAAACAAAAAAGTAAATTCCTTTTCACGCCTTTAGGCGCATCGCTCATATGGGAAGAGCAACTATATTTTTACAGACCATTCGGCAAGAGGTGGGTAATGTGGTCAGCATTACACCGGCCGTCTTTACTTACCTTGTACATACATCCTGGTACCCATTGTAGGCTGGGTCGAACTGCGACGCCCCATACCATGATAAAAATCCACACAGCCAGCAGTGGGTTTCGATCGCAGTACGTTGAAATTAGAAGTCAGACTCGCAATTTGATATTTCGACTTATAAAAGCGTGAGGCGACTTTGGAAGTCGTTATGGCTAGCAGCCTATTTATCCATTCAGTTCTATCCTGCGCAATCCATTCGACGTCGTGGATTAAATCCAGTCCAGCATCTTTGCCTCTCTCATCAACGTTCGTCTTAGGATTACTCCTTGAGACGTCCTCGTTTTTGCGATTCATTTGTTTTCTATGTCAGTTCCTGATTACTGAATCTCTCTCAGTCTTCCCCATCATTGACTGGCACCTTTCTGTCTTTCCAGACGATACTGTTATATTCTGCTATGAGGAGACATGAGACTTTCGGCCCATGGCGATGGCGAGTGTGACTAGCATGACCCGCCCGTGTCAAGAAATGTCTTCCACAATGATAGAGTAGGATTTCAGGACCGTTTGTGTTTAATCCGTTTCTTCTCAGACACTCAGCTCTCATCTTTTCTGCAATCATTTCTTTCTTCACTCTCATTCCCTTCCTGTTATGTCCTCTCCACACAACACGGTCCATGACATTTTGTTCCCATTAGTCCACCTCTTCTTCTTCTTCGGGGAAAAGGGGGTGGGGGGGTACACCAATGAGTCCACCTCAATATCTGTATATTTATTATGGCTGTACCGAATATTCGCTTCGTATTCGCTTCGGGGCCGAATAGTAAACCTAATAATTATTCGGTATTCGGCCGAATAGTTGTGGTCGGGCCGAATACGAAAAGTGGTTACCTTACACTCGTTTCGTGACTGGTGGAAAATGAACATATCAAAATTTCCCACCTTCGTTTATAATGTCAAGCGTTATATTTGTCCACCACCTACGCGTGTACCAAGTGAACGTCTGTTTAGTACAGCTGGAAATACCTTCAGTGAGACAAGAAGCTGCCCTAATGCTGACAACATGGAACAATTGTGTGGGGTTTTTTTAAAGCTAATGCCGCTTTCATGGATTAACTAAGCTGTCAGTGACAATTTACAAGTTTAGTTACTTGTTATAAAACTAATAATACTTTCATTCTTAGGTATTAGTTTCCACAGACTGACTGACTGAAGGATGCCAAAGATGAAATGTTTTTAAATGTTTACCATTCTGTACTACATTTTGTGAAGTAAAATTTCAGCGAACATTTGACATTATGGTTTTTTTTTTTTTTAGATCCATTTTATACACTATTCGAAAGTAGAAGAATGGGCATCAGTTTGAACAGTGGGAAGACTGAAGAAATGGTGGTATCAAAGAAAATAATTATTCCTAAATGTGTAAAAAAAATTCAATGGTTTTATTTTAGAACAAGTACAGAATTGTAAGTATCTGTGCACATGGATAACACAAGAAATAAGAAACAGAATAGGACAGGCAAAAACTGCATTTTATACAATGAAGAACATCCTATGCAATATATCTTTGTCACTGAAGGTTCGAAAATAAATTCTTGCTTGCTACATACATCCAGTTTTAACATATGGCTGTGAGTCCTTGACAATCACTATTCGGTACAGCCCTAATATTTTTCTCCCGCTTGCACACATCTTCATATTGTAATAAAGGTCTGCCTCGACATCTTCTACCCGTTTTTAATTCACCAATGATATCCTTAGGGACTCTGGCATCCTCCATATACTTCCGGTTAAAATGGACGATAGACAGCGACGCTGTTCGGAGCAGAGGCACATTTTTTGCTTCTGCCGGACGGTGGCCGATGCATTTTTGCTCCATTTGTAGACTGGATATAGTTTCGTCGCCCAGCTTCTGAGTTGAATGCATGGCGTGACCCTGTGAGCTGCGGATTGCATTTGGAATGTGTTTTTTTCGACTGTGACCAACGTGGTGTGAATTGTAAATTCAGAAAATGGCGCGATGCCTGCCGTGCAATGCTGGCGGGGCCCGTATTAAAATTGATCGCGCGGGCAACTGCTGATCTGTTGGCGACAAGTTCTGCTATCATCAATGATGAACTGCATTTCTAATGTTGGACTGTTTGTGTTAGCACTTCGGATGGCTACCATATGCTTTAATGCGAGTGTATGCTAGATATGCTGAGACAGCAGTCTGTCAATCTTTCCACAAGGGACTGTGATAGACATTCTGAGTGTTTTTCGCTGGCACAGGAGCGGAGCAAAGATGGGGCGACCCGTTTGCTATGAAGCTGAAACTAAGACTACCAGACTACGTCCAGACTACCATTCTCCATGTGTGACCCTCATCATGTACCGAGTATATGGCCCACGTTTTCTTATACATGATGATACAAATGTGTTCATACATTTGACTTACTTCTTTACCTTTCTTGAATTAATTGTGTTTAATTTAACAAACTGAATGGTTTCTTTTCCTCAGAAAATTTAAGAAGACGGATCTGATCTCAACAAAAACAGGTACAGCCGCAGTAATGGAGGGGAAGTTGAAAGAAAAACTGGAGTCCGTTGGTCTGGCTGCCCTCTGCCTGGCCCAGGCACACCCTGTCGCGATTGCCAGTTTGTGTAAGTTGAAAACCATATTTTAGAAATGGAATGTAGAAAAAGAATAAGTAGAAGAGTGACATCTTTAGGTGAATTCAGTCGTGCTGCTGCTGCCGCGACTGCTGCTGCTACTGCCCCTACTGCTCCTGCTTCTTCTTCTGCTTCTTCTTCTTCTTCTTCTTTTTTTTTCTTTTTCTTCTTCATGGAGCAATCACAATTGTACATGTCTAAAAAAATAGTAACATATCGATGGAAGCACTAGCACTCATAAATCTTTCTCTGTTTTCTGTTTGTTGAACAAGTCTTCTTCTTCTTCTTCTTCTTCTTCTTCTTCTTCTTCTTCTTCTTCTTCTTCTTCTTCTTCTTCTTCTTCTTCTTCTTCTTCTTCTTCTTCTTCTTCTTCTTCTTCTTCTTCTTCTTCTTCTTCTTCTTCTTCTTCTTCTTCTTCTTCTTCTTCTTCTTCTTCTTCTTCTTCTTCTTCTTCTTCTTCTTCTTCTTCTTTTTCTTCTTCTTCTTTTTCTTCTTCTTCTTCTTCTTCTTCTTCTTCTTCTTCTTCTTCTTCTTCTTCTTCTTCTTCTTCTTCTTCACGTTCACCAGCTGTACACTCTGGCAGCAAGTTCTGGTTACTCGTCCACTACTGAACTGCAGTCCTGCTCCAGAACCTGAGTGTTGCGTGTGCATCAGTTTTACAGATCTCATTCTCTTGAATACAGACTGTTGGTTCCTTGCCTCTCCGGCAGATGCACTCCGACTTCAAAGGAAGCCCCCCAATTAGTCGACTCTTACGACATGCTATTGGGGAGGCAGTGGGTCTATTCTTGTTTTCCCCCACAATGGGGCCTAGGAGCCCACACGGGGGTGTTGAACAAGTGTATGATAACATAGTCTTGTCCTTTTCATGTTGTTGTAATTGCAAGTTAATCTTCGCCACTCTCCCCACTCCTCTTCTTTAACTCCTTCTCCACCCCTTCCCCTTTTCCCTCACGTTCCTTGAAAAATAATTTTTGCAAGAGAATCATGTCTCACCAGATGCGCAATCTAAACTACATGTCTAATACTTCAAATCTAATCAGTCGTTTTTGACAAGAGATTAAAGCAGGGCGGGATTTAGACATAATAAGGCCCCAAGTTATATAAAGCTCTGAGGCCCCTGCCGTTTTCAATTACACCAGCTCTCAGAAAACTGTATAATCAATACGCCTTTTAAATATAAAGATAATGAAAATACCCTAACGTTTAATTGTTATTAAAAGAAATACCAATGAATGTGTTTGCAGAATCATTGTGTAATCCTCTAAAAACTTCTGTGTTACTACTCTAAACATTTTCTATCTTGATTTCTCAAATGCAAAATCATTGATTATGTGATCACCAGTTATGCCGCGTAAAACGTCGGTTCTGTACACATGGTATAAAGTGCAGACAGTTTTATATATATATGTAAATATATATATATATATATATATATATATATATATATATATATATATATATATATATATATATATATATATATATATATATATATATAAAACACAATTGTATTAAAACTGCCAACTGGCAATTACTGCCTTTATTTTACCACGTTTAAGGTGTAGGCGGGGGGGGGGGGGATGTCTCTGAGCCTTAGGTTTTTACTGTTGCGTGGCTAGTGCTGTCGCCACGACTGTGCAGGTGAGGATTTATTTTGCCCTCGACAGAAAAAATCGACACCCTTACCGAGGATTAGAACTTGTGTCTCCTGCTTTAGAGCCCAGCTTTCTAACCGCTCGGCCAGCCGCTCCTCATTGCATTACAAATGTATGGAAAGGACAATGCATAGTGTAAAAACAATCGAATTTTTGTTTGTTTGTTTGTTTGTTTGTTTGTGTCGGCGCCTGCTGCTCCTAAGACCTAAACTCTAGCTGAGTTATCTTATGCCTAAATCGAGCACTGGCACTAAATCGAGCACTGGCACTAAATCGAGCACTGGCACTAAATCGAGCACTGGTTTAGGAGCATCTTGTCAACTATGTATGCAAATTTAACTTTTATTGTCAAGTCAACGTGTTCAATATTTCATGCGTCACGACCAATTAGCTGGCTCCCTTGGCATCTGCTGTTTGTTGCTCTCTATCCGACTGGCTCACTCAAGTCTTGTCAGCAAGCTCAACGCTCGCGCTCCGCAGATTCGGAGTCAAGCTCACGCTTCTGATGACGAAGATGAAATGAAGGATGAAAACATTCGATGCAAAACCTCCAATGTAAGTTTATCGTGAAATACAATTAACATTGGATTTAACTGGTGAGACATAACATTTTTTTTTTTCCATTGTGTCACTCCTTGAAGCATGCGCCCACAAAATACAGTAACATTGACTTTTAACAGACAAGGTAAACTTTATTTTGTTCTATATCGTACTTCACCATGAAGCATACACCCATGAAAAACATTAAACGTTGGATTTAACAGACAAGGCAAACTTCATTTTGTTCTACTTTGTATTCCCCCATGAATCATACGCCCATGAAATACAGTAACATTAACTTTTAACAGACATTTTATTTTATATCGTACTTCACCATGAAGCATACACCCATGAAAAACATTAAACGTTGGATTTAACAGACAAGGCAAACTTCATTTTGTTGCCCATTGTATCCCCCCATGAATCATACGTCCATGTAATACAGTAGCATTGACTTTTAACAGACATTTTGTTCTATATCGTACTTCACCATGAAGCATACAACCATGAAAAACATTAAATGTTGGATTTAACAGACAAGGCAAACTTCATTTTGTTCCACATTGTATTCCCCCATGAATCATACGTCCATGAAATACAGTAACATTGACTTTTACCAGACATTTTGTTCTATATCGTACTTCACCATGAAGCATACAACCATGAAAAACATTAAACGTTGGATTTAACAGACAAGGCAAACTTCATTTTGTTCCACATTGTACTCCCCCATGAATCATACGTCCATGAATTACAGTAACATTGACTTTTAACAGACATTTTGTTCTATATCGTACTTTACCATGAAGCATACAACCATGAAAAACATTAAACGTTGGATTTAACAGACAAGGCAAACTTCATTTTGTTCTACATTATATTCCCCCATGAATCATACGTCCATGAAATACAGTAACATTGACTTTTAACAGACATTTTGTTCTATATCGTACTTCACCATGAAGCATACAACCATGAAAAACATTAAACGTTGGATTTAACAGACAAGGCAAACTTCATTTTGTTCCACATTGTATTCCCCCATGAATCATACGTCCATGAAATACAGTAACATTGACTTTTAACAGACATTTTGTTCTATATCGTACTTCACCATGAAGCATACAACCATGAAAAACATTAAACGTTGGATTTAACAGACAAGGCAATCTTCATTTTGTTCTACATTATAATCCCCCATGAATCATACGCCTATGAAATACAGTAAAAGTTGGATTTAAAAGGCCAGCTTTAACTTCATCTCCTCTACATGGTATCCTTCATTGGAGCATGACCAGCTAAGGTATCCCAGCGGTGGACTGCAGCTCATGTTGTGTCCTCCAGATATTAGTATGTCTCAATCATCATTTTTCCTGTGTTTTTCGAACTGCCTCTAGTTATTGTACTGTGTGGGTTCCAGCTTGCAGATGTCATACTTAGAATAATTTACTCTAATGTAAAACCAGTTCTACTGTTAGATCACAGACATCAGTTTGTCCATACTTCATGCCCAAATCATCCTAAGGGATAGGTGTTCAATGGACTTAATCTTTGTTTAAGAACATAGAATGAGGCGTCCGTGGCTTAGGCGTTGAGAGTCTGACTCTTAATTCCAACGTATCGCGATCGAAACCCACTGCTGGCTGCGTGGATTTTTATCATGGTATGGGACGTCGCAGGTCGACCCAGCCTAAAATGGGTACCAGGATAGATGTCCTGGGGAAGTAAAGACAGTCGGTGTAATGCTGACCACATTACCCACCCAGTGCCGATTGGTCTGTAAAAATATGGAGTGCTCTTCCCAAATGCCCGATGCGCCCAAAGGCGTGGAAATGGATCTTTACTTTTCTTACCTGAAGAAAATAGTGAAAATAGTGAAAATAATAATAATATCATTAATAAGGTTCTGACACCTGCGGTCTACCACAATGAACTTATTACACTGTCTCTGTTGTTATTAAATCCACGGAATCTAACACAATGAATGTATCATTTTACAGGACTTTGCCAGTCGGGGAACACAAACTAACTTCAGCTCTCACTTATCGGACAAGTACGTTAAAAAATACTTTCTCTTCTTCTTCTGTCTTTTTTTTTTCTTCTACCACTTCCTCCTCCTCCAGCTACCTCATCGAAGTGTATTGGAGAGGTGCAGGAGTCTTCTATATTCTCTTGTTAGGTGTGTTGTATACGTTTATCTGTGGAAATAGAGACACAGGAAGACAATGCGAGAATATTTTTTGACAGCCGTCTGTCATGGCATGGAGGAATGTCAACACGCGAACTGATACACGCAGTAGCAGATCGCAGAGTTTACATAAGCATGATCGCCCAGGCCAGTCAGAAAGGATCTTGGTGAGGATAATACGTTGATCTTCATTGATGTTAGGATATTCTTGAGACTGCCGTTACATCTTTTGTGTAGTCTTCCCATTGCAATGTGTTCATTATATCTATCCAGAAAAGATATAAAACAACCAAACGAAAAGTATATTAGCAAGCTTCACAATTTAACAAATACAAACAAAACGTGAACGTTGCGGCTATGGATCCTTCATCAGCGCATACAAATCAAACAATACCACACAAATACATAACTTCACTTAGCTGGTGTCTCGAAACAGCCGGGTTGATGGTTTCTCAGCAAACTGCCTACACGCGTGAGCTAAGGGAATGAATACCCTCTGTGGAGTACCAGAGGTCATAACTAGAGGGATTGAGATAAAACTGTGGGGGCAGTTTAATCCCCTAGGAGTTTAAATGAAACTGTGTTGGCAGTTCAGTCCAGATGGTTTTAAAGTACCCAGTGTGGCTCTCTGTGTTAGTTGGCACCAGAGCATTGTCGTCAGATGGCCGAATTATTTTCAATAAATTTTATGACTGGTTATAATTCTAGTTATCTTCTCTTTCCTCAACTTTTAATCGTATCTCTCTTTGTTGCTCTAAGTAAAATGTATCTTTTCCATGGCTTCAGATATATTAGGCACACAGGACTAGAAATATATTTTATAGACCGATCATTACTATGTGGGTGATGTGGTCAGCATCAGACCGGTCGCTTTTACTTCCCAGAACTTCACCTCCTATCCATTTAAGACTGAGTCGACCTGGGACTCAAAGTCATTTTATGCAAAAAACAAAAAATCCGGCTCCGTCAAGGCTTGAATCCACGACCTTCCGATTTGCAGGCGAGAGTCTAAGGGATATACAGCGGTGGCTCCCTTTGTGTTCTATCATCTCTCAAAATAAAATGTTATTATACAGCAGTCATCGTGGTCGTCGGCTCTGTGGCTAAGTAATGCTTCGTAATGCCGGGATGCCGGGTTCGATCCCAGCTGCAGGCCTAGCGTTGGTTTCGACAGTGGTATCAAGAAAGCCGACCGTCCAAAAAGCAATGGTAAACTACTGGAGGTAAATTTGCCTAGAGAAACCACACAACAGCCAGGGGTTGTTATGGTTGGTTCTGCAACGTCCTGTAAAGGATACGCAACAACCTTTAACCATGGTGGTCAGGGAACATACCACAAAGGCAGGTAACTGAAAGTAAAAGCCCCTTTTTCAAGCCAATACGCTTCCGACACATTCTGTCATAATTTCTGTATTTTGGGCACCCTGTCTGTGATGTGGTCAACATCCCACCGGCTGCCTTTACTTCCTAACCTATTCAAATTGAGCAAACATGTAATAAATTGCATTTTACGTCATTCATGGTACTTGTATTTTTGCCCTCCACAACTCCCTCCCCCACCCCGCAAAAAGTGTTATTCACTCCCTTGTTCCCCCCCCCCCCTCCCCCGCTCCCTTCCTAAACATGGGGTCCCATTAATCACAGTGAAAACTACAAGAGTTGAGAAATTAGTAATGTTGTAGGTATAATGATATCCGTTGTTATAAAGCAAAGGCAAGAACCAATCATGATCCACAGCATAAAAGAAACAAGGACACAGAAACAAGATGTGTGTATGTAGTTTATAAAGCTTATTTAATGTGTTTCTATGTTGAATCCATGCCTACACACATACATCAACACTTAAAAAAAAATATATATATATATATGGCTCATGCAATTCATAGGGTATATCAACTGAAGAAGTGAAATAAACAAATAGATAAAACTTTCTCTGTCTTGAGTATAAATATTTTTCATGTTGTTTTCCCCCTGTATAAACTATAAAAATATGTTATTCTCTTTTCTTTTTCCCTCTCTCTGTATGACATAGAAACAGATTGTTTCCCCTGATATTAACTAGAAATATAGGTTCTGTTTTTTTCCCCTCTGTATAAACTAGAAAAAAAGGTCATCTTTGTTTCTTGCCGAATAAACTCCAAAGAAAGGTTTAGTTTTCTTTTCTCTGTGTACACTAGAGAAAAAAGGTCAATGTTTTCCCTCTGTATAAACTAGAAAGATGAGTGATGTATTTTTCCAAACTGTATTGCCGCTCTGGGACTGCAACCTGAAAGTTTGACACCCAAGGTCTCAAAGGGTCATTTTTTAATGGTTATGTCTGTCTGTCTGTCTGTCTGTCTGTCTGTCTGTCTGTCTGTCTGTCTGTCTGTCTATCTAACTATCTACCTATCTATCTATCTATCTATCTATCTATCTATCTATCTATCTATCTATCTATCTATCTATCTATCTATCTATCTATCTATCTATCTATCTATCTATCTATCTATCTCTATCTATCTATCTATCTATCTATCTATCTATCTATCTATCTATCTATCTATCTATCTATCTATCTATCTATCTATCTATCTATCTATCTATCTATCTATCTATCTATCTATCTCTATCTATCTATCTATCTATCTATCTATCTATCTATCTATCTATCTATCTATCTATCTATCTATCTATCTATCTATCTATCTATCTATCTATCTATCTATCTATCTATCTATCTATCTATCTATCTATCTATCTATCTATCTATCTATCTATCTATCTATCTATCTATCTATCTATCTATCTATCTATCTATCTATCTATCTATCTATCTATCTATCTATCTATCTATCTATCTATCTATCTACAAAAAGCATGTTATTTTCATAAAACAAAACACAGAGTATGAGCACAGTGTCAGTCACTCAGTAGGCTGTCCTTTGCAGAACCTTGCTCACATAACAACCCTCCGGAAAACGTTTCGATCACAAGCAAGATGTCACGCCTCCATTAAACCTATCTGGAGATCATCCGCCACATTCTGCACCCATCTTCTCTTTGGCCTTCCTCTTTCTCTCTTCCCAGTCATTTACCCCTCCATTACTGTTCTCTCTAAACTTTCATGACGTTTCAAATGACCAAAATATTTTAATTTTTTTGGTGTGTTTTATTGTCTGAAATAGACAACCTTCTTTTGAAGTCTGGATGCGTTTGTTCTTTTCTTTACCTATGATATTTTGAGAAACTGTCTTTAGTATTTGTATTCAAGCATAGGGTAAGTGTTCAAAAGCATGGATGGCAAATGCCTACATATACAAAATGAGCCTAGCATTATATACATAAGGAGCACCTGGCGTAAAAAAATTTGCTACGAACTTTATATCAATCTGTTTCAGTTCAGAGAGCTTGCAGAATGTTCATGACCACGAGAAAAGAGAGAGTCATGAAATGTTCTCTTTGCTACCCCGTTGTAAATCACTGAATGATACAAGCCTGCAACTGATTGCCGAACGTGTGTACACAGTTGGTTGCTTCGACCTGTTTCATTACGGGCATGTACAGCTGCTGAAGCAGATGCGGACATTTGGCAAGAAGGTTGGTGTCTTTGATGTTTATGTTTTTATAAAGTTTATATAAAGTTGTAGTCTGCCTCTCTGTATGCCTGTTGGATATCCAGTCTTTCCTGTGTGTTTTGTTGTTGTTTTTACGGTACGTAAGGGTTCACAGCATCGGCACCTTTTTAACGTAATCGTTTTTGGGTCAGAACTTCTTTGGTTGACACTATCTATCTATCTATCTATCTATCTATCTATCTATCTATCTATCTATCTATCTATCTATCTATCTATCTATCTATCTATCTATCTATCTATCTATCTATCTATCTATCTATCTATCTATCTATCTATCTATCTATCTATCTATCTATCTATCTATCTATCTATCTATCTATCTATCTATCTATCTATCTATCTATCTATCTATCTATCTATCTATCTATCTATCTATCTATCTATCTATCTATCTATCTATCTATCTATCTATCTATCTATCTATCTATCTATCTATCTATCTATCTATCTATCTATCTATCTATCTATCTATCTATCGATCTATCTATCTATCGATCTATCGATCTATCGATCTATCGATCTATCGATCTATCGATCTATCGATCTATCGATCTGTCGATCTATCGATCTGTCGATCTGTCGGTCTGTCGGTCTGTCTGTCTGTCTGTCTGTCTGTCTGTTTGTCTGTCTGTCTGTCTGTCTGTCTGTCTGTCTGTCTGTCTGTCTGTCTGTCTGTCTGTCTGTCTGTCTGTCTGTCTGTCTGTCTGTCTGTCTGTCTGTCTGTCTGTCTGTCTGTCTGTCTGTCTGTCTGTCTGTCTGTCTGTCTGTCTGTCTGTCTGTCTGTCTGTCTGTCTGTCTGTCTACCTAACTACCCACCCACCTACCTACCTACCTACCTACCTACCTACCTACCTGTCAGTCAGTCTGTCTGTCTAGATTGCTACGTTTGTATTCATGTTATTATCTAGAGATATATAAAGAAACATACACTTTATCATCATTTGTAGGTTATTGTCGGTGTGCACGACAGCCGAAGCATTTATCAGCTGAAACAGAAAGTCCCAGTGGACAGCACGGTCACCAGAATGCGCAATGTCAAACAGTATGCAGATGAGGTGAGTTCACATGATGGTTTTTGTCGTGGCAATTACGGTTGTTTTAAGCTTACCATTATCTGCACGTGTGGCAAATTTTTTTTTCTCCTGGTTTTGTTTTCTTTCTTTTTCTCCTATCTGTTATTTTGACTCCTAATACGTCAGTGGCGTATGATGCTAGATTTATTTAGCAACATCGGCACTGGATTGATACAACTATTCAACATCACTGTAAGGAATAAATATTTTCATTCGTATCTCATTTTCCTAAATATTTTTGAATGGATGGTATTCAGAATAATGTATGAGTGGACAGCCTGAGTGTCAATTCGAGATAATACGTTAACTTTACGAGGCAAGCATACATTTTGCTCAGGTGACAAAAAGTCATGAGAAGCGCCTGAGAACATTCTTGAAGGAAAGGAAGTGATTATTTAAGACATGAAAAACTGAGATAGTCTAGTCTTGTTTCGATCTGATCTTGTTGGTGGTTAAAGTGCATGAATTGAATGAATACTGAATCTAGCTCGTGATTGTTTCAACTTACCCGCCAGGAGAAACCTGGCTAATCAATCCATGACGACACGGAATGAAGAAATGAAAGCTGTTGACTGTATAGTGTCTAATGTCATACGAGTTTGTGAAATGCCAGCGAGAGATGCAGTGACAGCGGTAATCTTATATTTGATGTTGGCACCAACCTGTTTGTGAATATAGCTAGGAAACTAGACAATTTTTCTCTGGCATTGTTTCGATCAAGAGGACGTCGGTGCAGAATAAACAAAGGAATCGTTGTCCGCTGTTTAGAGATTCCTCAGTGTTTTTCTGGTCAAGTTACAGAATTCGAGAATGTGTCAGAGTAGATAGCCACCTCTTCCCTCTCCTCTTTTCATTTTGGCATATTTTCGATGTTTCGGTCTTTATTAAACGAGCTCAGCCTTGTAACTGTTTGTCTCCCGCAGGTGTTCTGTGTCGCAGGCACGGATCCGTCACCATTCCTTGACAGCATTTTTGACAAGAGCAATCACAAATCAAGTGCTATATACATCCGCGGTGATGACATGCCCCAGTTCCCAGCAAGATCACTGTGTGAGTCCCTGATGACAGTCAAGTTCCTTCCCTACACAACAGGGATATCCAGCACGAAGTTAAGGAAAGATCTATTTAATTCCAGCTACTACAGCGCTACACTCCATGATGGACTTGACAATATGATGCTTTATTAGACTGCCCGATCTTTCTCAGTACTGTTTTAAATAAAAAGTGTTATTTATGATGCTGCGACTCTTAGGCATGCATTTTGGGAAGGCAGTGGGACCAATCATGTTTGCCCCACAATAGGGCCCAGGAACCCACATGGAGAGCCACAGTAGTAACGAGTATACTCTTCTATGCTCATATTTATATCGACCAATGGGCACTCGATGGGTGGTATAGTTCAAAGAGTGCCAAACGTTTCTTTCTTTCACTGAAACAAGTTCAACACTTGATGATGACTCCACCTGAAAGGGTATCAAACAACTAGTAGCAACTGGTAATGTGACTGCGTATTTAAGAGTGTGTAAATCTAAAAAAAAGCAAATATATATATATATATATATATATATATATATATATATATATATATATATATATATATATATATATATATATATTTATTTATTTATTTATTATTATGAAAAGTCATTAGGTAAAGGCAATTGTAACCTAGTCTGCATGGAACATAATGCAGAAGAAATAATACTATTTCAGGACACGGAAGCGCCCCTATGAGATACGTAAAGAGCCTATATGAAAGATTTAGCAGTAAGCACATGCGCAAAATGTCGTACAAGATGACTGCAGCACTGTTACATGCACCATGGAAGAGCAACAAGGTGTTATTCGTTTGTGGACAGAGGGCGTTAAACCGTCTGCAGTCTGTCGAAGAATGATTCGTTCTATACGGAGACAGTTGTTTGTGCCAGTGGACAGTGTGTGAATGGTGTGGGAAGATTTAAAAAAAAAAGGAAGGGAAAACGTCAGTGATGAAAAACGGAGTGGGTGACCAGTTTTCTTGGCACTGACTGAGACAGTGAAGCAGTAGATAGCGCAGCGAATCCGCGACAAAAGAGGAGTCACTATTGACGAAAACCCACCCGGACTTGGCAGCATCGGATTTTCATTTGTTTGGCTCATTGATAGAATATTCGCGGGGTCAGAGATTTGCAGATAGCAAGGAGGAGATGTCGGCGGTGCGAACTTGGTTACTGGCCACACCCAAGGGCTTCTACCTGTCTTGTGGCATCTTGTGGATCGGTGAACTACTTGTGTTGCAAGGAAGGGAGACTGTGTCCGGGTGCTTGATAATGCAGCTGCCTTTATTTAATGACGACCCCATCTTTTAAAGTATTATTTCTACAATTCGTATTATTTGAAATATGTCATTTATTTTCCATTTAGGACACAATTACAGTTATTATTTTTTATTATTAATATTATTATCATTGTTGTCTGAAACAAGGGTAAAGCCCATTAAGCGCCCTCCTCCTTTCCCAGATAGCTATGATGTGGCTAAGACCTTATCCAGCTGGTCTTGTGAGGCGTCGACTCCGGCAAGTTGTACTGTGTGCATGACAGAATGTATTTATTTAATAGTGTGTATCTATGAAGGCAAATGCATACACGTATCAGCTCCATACGCCAACTAACCCCGACGCACTCATTGATACAGTCCTTGACCCTCTTCTATGGCCTATATATCAAGAACCACCTTCTAATATTTAAAAATAAGTTCACTTACACTGTTGTCTGTATTTGCTTATGATGTTAACCCTTTCGTGCTGTTTGATTTTCATTGTGTGTCAACTGAGAGTGTCTCATCTGGAGTGTGTATATTAGACTTGAAGGTTATATGCAAGATAGGCAGATTTACAAGCAGACAGAAAGACAAGCTGACAGAAGAGTGAACGAACCGAAGAACGTATGGCTAACCGAATGTGGCAGTATCGTCTAAACAGCGATATAGGCCCTGAGTGCAGTGTGGGAACTGCCCGAAAAACCAGACTGGAGCTCCAGAAATTTGGGTCCATTTGTGTGTATTTAATATACACACGAGCGCGCGCATACACGCACACCCGAACACACACAAACACATAAGGTGACCATTATATCTCTAACCTAATCTTGGGTACTTTATTTTTAATTCACATCGAAAAACGAAACTCCTGTGTTTTCGGGAAAGTCCAATATGCTAGGGGTGTTACTGGTGTGGGTTAGGGCGAGGATCTGTGTCAGCTATAAACCCTACCTAGGAACCTAACCATAGCCGCAACCCACTAGAATATTTCATTCTCCCCAAAACTCTGTAATTTCCTTCGCGTGATGAACATTAAAAATAAAGTACCTTATCTTGAGCTGAAAACGGGACATCCTATTATTATTTTGACCTAACAACGGGACATGCTACTAATATTTTGAGCTAACAATGGGACGTTCCAAGCAAGTCAACTTTTTGCCCACATCAACCATCCATTGTCGCTTCTGCAACGTCCTGTAAAGAATACGGAACTTATTCATCATCATCATGGAGCAGGTCCTTTGCAGTCTCATCACAGTCTGCCTGAAAGAAACTCGGTCTCTCGCCATTTCTCCCGCCTCATGTACTTTCATACTCAATGAGTCAGTTATATCCTGTGCCCATCTTCGTGTCGGTCGGCCCCTGCCCCTCCTTCCTAGTACCATGCCTTCTGCTATATTTTTTCCCAATACGTCGTGGTGCTTGATATGACCAAATTATTTCAGCTACCGAGACAGAATGCTGTTTATTAGCCAATCTTCCTTGATTTTCAACTTATTACGGGCACAAAAAATTATAGGTATGTAACCATTTCCATGATGCACCAGTAGCGTGAAAGCGTACTTTAAAAAAATATGTTCTAGTTTGAGAGATTTTCATCCCTTGATCCCCTATGACGCTATGCCACACAAGGCATACACCAAAATAGGAGAAGGACGAAGAGCAGAGGTGGACCAAGATCAATATGGAAAAAAACATCTGAGAAACTGCGTCTGTGGCTTAGGAACGTTTCAAACGCGCTTTGTAATGCCGGGGTGTTGGGTTGGATCCCAGCTGCGGGCCTCGCGCCTTGCGTTGGTTTCGACAGTGTTATCAAGAATCCGACCGCCCAGATAGCAATGGCAAACTACTTGACGTAAACTTGCATAGGAAAACCACAAAAGCCAAAAAATGCTGGGGTTGGTTCTGCAACGTCCTGTAAAGCAACGCAACTAACTTTTTTAAGTAGTAGTTTGCCATTGCTTCATGAACAGTCATTACTCCAACGCAAGTTGAAGAGCAAGGAGTAGACTGTTATATCTTCCCCGACATCCGCCCGGCTCTAGCGTAGTTGGCTAAATCGGATTGCGCGGTGACCGGGTGACGAACTCCTTGTGGTCCGGGTTCATTCCCCGGGGTAGGCAGAATAGCCACATTTCTTCCAGATTTACGGTATTTATCATGGAATCAAGGCTGAAAGGTTGCGATATCCATAATACCGAGCCTAAGGGTTAACAACGCATGGCGTCTGGATACTAAAACAAACAAACAATCCTCGACATCCGAAGCGGTGACAGAGGTTGAGTTGAACTGAGTTGAGTCAAGAATTGACAGCACAGCACTCGTGGAATTCCCATGCGTGCCCTGTCCTTGTCTTCAGCAGCCAGCGCAGAGTTCCAATAATGATGGTACCGGTCACAATCTGGTTATATGTCCATCTTGCCTTTCCTCTAAGTGTAGTGAGCCAGATAGACCCTCTGGTTACACCCAAGTGGCTCATTCTCTCCAGACCATAATAATCTTTTCTACATCCGTGACAGAGGAAGTGCAGTAGACGAAGAAGAATATAGATATTGTACTTCTGTATGTATGATTGGCTGCTTCTGGAGATTTGGTTAGTAATGCATCAGTCAGCAGGTTAAATTCATATACACATGAGAATACAACGAACTAAGTAAGTGACCGTTTTAATCAAACAATTAAATTATATAAGAAAAGTAATGAAATGAATAGCAATCACAAAATGGTAACAAACAAAGCTAGGGTATGACATAACTCTCTCTCTCTCTCTCTCTCTCTCTCTCTCTCTCTCTCTCTCTCTCTCTCTCTCTCTCTCTCTCTCTCTCTTACACACACACACAGTCTCTTTTTTTTTCTCTCTTTATTTCTCTTTCTCCCATTTCTCCTATTTCCCAAGCACGCTTTCTCAACCTCTTTTTTCTGTCTTATGCTTTTTGTCTCCATTCCAACCAACCTTTATCGTTAACCTAATCCCTGAAATCTTGAATCTCCCAATCTATTGGGAGTGGGGGGGGGGGGAGGGTGCCTCATCTCTCCATTTTATTTCTTATTTTTTAAAAACCCAGTCCCTTTCTATTTTTTCTCTCTGTCTCTCTCTCTCTCTCTCTCTCTCTCTCTCTCTCTCTCTCTCTCTCTCTCTCTCTATTTGTCTCTCTATCTTTCTCCACCTTATGTATGCAGAGAAACTGATAGGTATGTGTGTTTCCTGGAAAATTGTTGAATCCCATAAATCTCTCTCTCTCTCTCTCTTTCTCTCTCTTTCTCCCAATGTCTTATCTAACTCCCTCTCTCTCCCTCCCTCCCCGTGTATCTCCGACTGTGTGCAATTGTGTGAATATGTTTGTATCAGAACATCATTTCATTATCCAGTTCAGCCTAAGTGACTACTGTGACTCCATTTGTCCAAACATACAGTAGCAGACCCTCTCAGTTAATCTGTAGTGTTTAGTACACAACATACTTAGAACTTTAGATCACATCTCCTCCCATCTTCGCAAAGACAATATTAGGGGGGGGGGGGGGTACCGCTACCTCAATAAATTTAGCAAATCATCATCAATACGCCTGAGCATTGTGCATAATAAAAATTATTTTTAAAAAATAATTATAACAATGATGATGATGACGACAATGATAATAATTATATTAATTATTTCTAATATTATTATTTGAAGAAAGTCATTTAAATTTATTTCAAATCATTTAAATTCATAAACATTTTTTTTTAATTTGGTGTGGTAGGAGGCATATAGTTCACCCTTACAATTTTAGAGGACCACATTGATTTATGTTTTATTGAAACAGGGAAAGGGGAGGGGGGGGGGGTGGGTCAGGGGGGGATGGCATCTTCCGACGTCCTCAGGCTTTGAAAATCTCAAGTGTTAAAAT